CGAGGTAAGTTGCTTGCCTAACCTTGTGTGGGGGAACTCCCCTTAGGATTTGGTATTGTTGATATTTGAGATGCCTTGTACGTGAGGTGACGAGTGTGTACTTGTGCTAATTGTTGAAAATTATATTTTCATTAAGTAACTATAACTGTGTTTTCTTTCCTGTTTATACTACTTGCAAGTTAAGCCTACTATTAGCTTAGGGAAGCATGTCTAATTGACTTAATTGCTTTACTTGCTCAAACTGCTCTATTTGAATTATGTGCAACATGCTAGGTTAGAAATACCTGTTTACCTTGTTATGAAATTTGGATTGAACTGAATATTTTCTGTGTTGCTGTTGTGTGTTTACTTTGGGACTACGGGACGGTATCCCAGGAGATCTCCCAGCATGTTTACTTTGGGACTAAAATTTGTATTCCGGTAGATCCCCTTGCACATATATTGATTTGGACTGTAGTATAGGATACCAAGAGATCCCCAGCACATATGTTGGGGATACTAAGAGATCCTCAGGATACCAAGAGATCCCCGGCACATATATTGAGGATACTAAGAGATCCTCGGGCCCTTCCCTTCCTCGTCACTACTCGACCGAGGTTAGGCTTGACACTTACTAATTACCGCTGTGGTGTACTCATGCCCTTTCTACGCATGTTTTTCATGTGCAGATCCAGATATTTCGACTCAGCCCTACTACCCTTGAGGCGAGACGATTCTCTAGAGACTTCGAGGTATATCTGCAGCGTCTGCAGATCGAGATGTCCCTTTCCATTCTCTCTTACAGTATTAGCCCTTCAGTATTTACTTTTGTTTAGACATTCTGGAGTTAGACACTTGTAGTTATTCAACAGCTTGTGATTTCATGAGATTCTGAGTTTTGAGAAGTTGTTCAATTTTGGAGATCTTGTATTAGTATATGTCGAGCGACATCTTAAACGTTTCTATATTTGCTTATCTTCAGTTTTATTAGTTTTTCCGCATTTTGTTTCTTTTTCCGCAATTGTTAGGCTTACCTAGTCATAGAGAGACTATGTGCCGTCACGACAGTTCACGGAGGGCGAACTTGGGTCGTGACAAAGTATATCTGAAGTGCAATCTTTTCACTTCAGACCTATTTGACCTTAAGTGTATGAAAATATTTATTACAATTTATACCTATTTGGCCTTAAGTACATCTTAAATATAATTTTTCACTTTAGACTTAATTAATCTTAAATGTATTGTACTTTAGACTAATTTTTGTAAACTTCGAACCCGATAACTCTAAAGTTGATCCTAAAGTGATAGGCTTGTAAATATTGTGTAAAGTGAGTGTAATTTTAATTGTAAAGTGGGTAAGATGCAAATGTCACGTTTATGATACTATGGGCTGGCCAAGCTCAGCTCGACCTAGCCCATGATCTATGACAAATGCAGTTTGATTGGTGCTGGTGTAACAGAATCAAAATTTTCCTTTTTCCGTACAAAATTCAGCGTGCCTCTTCATCAATTAACAGTTTAACACCCGTTAAATCACAAATTGCCGGACATGCAGACGTGGCAGTTGTATTCCGTCGCGGGTATGATTTCCGATGGAAAATCTCCGACGAAGATACCCTAATCTAACCATTGAAGAACCTAGCCGAGCTTAGCCCTAGCTCCTCGGCTGGTCTAATCCATGGCTGATCTCTTACGTCAAGGTAATTATTTTTTCTTCGTCTACATATCCATAAATTTTCAATACTTGCATGATATTAATCACCTTTGTGAACCAGGACGTTCACAATTAGCGGGGAATTAGTGATACAAGTACGCGAAAATAACAGGGAAGCCTGTGGCGGTGAAGCAGCCCGCGGTATCGACAACTCTTTCGATCCTTCGTGATGAAGACAATGATGTTTCTGGTACAGGTGTCACATTTTATCCTTCATAATAGTTTCTTATATCGAATTCCTTCTTTTCTTTTGATTTTGCTGGAATGGTATGTTCTCGTATTAATTAACTTAACACAAGTTTCGAAAAATGGTCTTTAATTATGCTAGTTTGGATGTAAAGTGTAACTACCTGTTGATCCGAACCCAATAGTTTTGACTCCGACACTATATGTGTTAAAATATTACTCACTAAATAAGTATAAATCATTATTTTCAAGCCTAGTAAATTAAATGATAACTGATAAAGTTCAAATTCTGGATTAGTTTTGCGTGTTTCAATATTCTAGCTTAAGTACATAAGAAGAAATGAGTCAACGTTGAATCAGTAGTTGACCTAATAAGAATATTGCATTATTCAGTGGAATACAAAGTTCTACTTTTTGAAATAGTGGACTACGTGAGTCTTATTTACGTTTCTTGACTTTTTGATTGGTCTGGATATGCATTATCAAAATAAATAAATTATTGTGTAGGCCAAGGAATTCAAAGAAAGAAGAGTTTTTGTTTTCACGATTCTGCCTTCCAGAAAGGCTCAGGAAATGCTCTTGATGGCTGATGCAACAGAATCTTTTTTTATTTTTTACATACTGCTGGTGGTAGATCAATATCAGTTTCCTGTGAGGTAGTAAAACGTGCAAAGAGTGTGCTTCGAGATCTAGAGCTGGGGTGTCTTGTAGATGAAAATGTTGTGGTTGATCCATTGATTTCTTTTCAAAGGACCAAAAATTTATTGCTCTGAACTTTACAAGGAATTGAAGTCAAATTCTTCTGTTTCCCTCTTATAGGCAGCAAAAGGCATGCAGTGGCTCCTCAATCCTTTTTACATCCCCATTGAGATCAAATTTTGTATCATAAGAAGTCTTCAATTAAAATGGAGAATCTCGCTCCTGCAAGTAATTTGATGAAGAACTTTGATGCTATGGCCAAAGAAAGCATGATCAGTAGGCTGGACCATGGTATCCTCAGCATGGAGAGCCATTCAACAAGAGCTGAGCAACATCCAACCTTGGAGAAAATGACATCCCTTCAAAACCTTAATTGCTAGAAAGGCCTTCTAGGGGTCCAATGGTGGATATCTCAAATGACATTGGAGCAGGATCTGCAGATAGAAACCAGAACTTGGGTGACAAGAGGAAACCTGGAAGGGGAAGTGTTGTTTCTCCATTCGAGGTGCCAAACTAGTCACCCCTCTCAAAAGTAACAACTCCAGTGCTGCTGTATTAGTCTTTCTCATCCCCTTTCTTCTTAGTTCTGTTGCAATCTTCCCTACTCTAGTTAGTGTTTGCTTTGTAATTCCAGTTTAATGTTCAATATAATCGATCAGTTCTATTGAAAGAGAGTCGTCCACTCTTAGTTTGTTACATTGGTGCTTTCATCGATTCGAACTCCAATGGCAGCGGTGGTTTTAGATAAATTCAGCGGCGGCAACCCAGAGGGATGGGTTTCTCGGGCCGAGCGGTACTTCACCTTCCTTGGTTTCTCTCAAGAATATTGGTTACCTCTACCTTACTTCTACCTTCAAGGCGATGCCCTCATTTGAATCGATTGGCTACATCGTAACAAACAATTCTATGATTGGAACCATTTCAAGGAGAAATTACTTATGCGATTTCGACAACGGAGCTTCGCAAGTTCGGGAGAGAGTGTGGCCTGTTTTGACTCCAGTAGCGTCGGACCTATATCTATACCAGAAGCCCTTCCTGCTGCAATGGAATCTAATTTAGACAATGCAAAACCAGATGAGGTCACAGAATTGAAGATTGCTTTTGATTTGGATGATGGCAACTTAAGTCCTATTGACAATTCCGAGGTCCCTCTTGAGATGTTAGAATCCCTGATTGGTAATACTTTGAACCCCACTGATTTTACTTCCTCAATAGTTTCAACCGGTGGCAATTTTGATGTGGATACACCACTGGAAGTTAATATTGATGAGGAGGAATATTCATGGAACTATGTCTGCAAGGTGCTTGCTGACATTACCGATAGGGAAATCGACATGGGCATTGAAGATTCAATGAAGATTGCCACCCAGGTGTTCGAGAAAATGGGGCATAAGTGCTGCACCAAGGTACTCTCTGATGACTATGATTTGGATGATGGAAACTCAGAGGACGACAATGTGCTTGCTGACAATTCCCAAAATGATATATGCGAGTTGCCTAGTCATATTATCGATATGACTTCATTTCTGATTTCTTTTGCTAAATATGAGTTTAAGGTTAAACATAGCACCGCGCTAATTAACGGAATCAATTGCCCGTTGGCAGACACCTTAAGGTTTTCCTGTCAAGTACTTTCACTGGTACCACACTCTAATACTTGGGCTAAGGATGCAAGAATTATTGGACTACCAACTTCTAGTTCTGTGGACAAGTGGTTCGACACAGGGCGGGAACTTATCATTGTTTCAGGTTACGCATCTCTTCTTCATATTCCTTTAAGTTCTGCATCATATGCACACACACTATCTGAAGCAATTAAAAAGGGATGTAGTTGTTTATTTGCAAAGTCGTATAATTTGGGGCAATTAGGTGGAATCGAATTGGATGTTGAGTCCTTTAATACCATGTATCTTGATAAATGTTTCGGGGTACCGGAGAATATTGAAAATCAACATCTGGATAAATTTTTCATGAAGTATGCGCAAGGCCTCCCAGTAAAAGAACTTCATTCGGATAAAGTCAAGGTGAGAATCTCCGAATTTATTGTGTCTGCAAAAAATGAATGCGAGGTTTTGGAGCAGGCAATGGGGAACCAATTGATAGATGCACGAAGGCAAACCAAATTGACGACGGTGAGTTCTCCTGCTTATTTTGGGTGCTATATTATCACAAAGCCTCTAGAAAGCCTTTCCCCAAACATCAATTTTATGTGGAGGGTGAATCTGCAACTATATTCTTCTTCGCCAGCAGGTTTCGTTGTTTATCTCACCTTTCCAAATCTTCCATTTGATCCTGGTATACATGATATCCCTATAGCCTTTGCTGTAGACCTGAATATGTTTACAAATAGTAGTGTTCTTTCTATTTATGATCCAATAGCTACACTGTGGGGTGATTGGGTTTATAGTGAGGGAAAATAAACATCATGTGTTGTTCTTATTCTTGCAATATGTAAGGACGCATGGCTATTTAGGCAGGTTGTTGCGAGTCAACGCTTTGGCCTTTACCCCTATGATCCGGGACCCAATGTTCAGCTACCTACCGTTTATGGTCCTCTATGTTGGAAAGGAACTGCTGCCAATGTTATGCTTTCTTTACAGAGTGGTGGTGTTGGTTGTACCTTTGATTTTGCGTTACTATCTCGATCCAAACTGCTAAGTGCACCTGTTGTGGCTATTGTTGACGCCCCGGAAGCTGCTAGTTGGAATGGTCTGTATATTGCAATTGGTTTTTTGGTTCCCTTGGCTAGCGGGGGAGTTTACTGGGTGGCGGACCAGAAATTTCAGCATGTTTTCTGCTTATTCAAGCTAGTTACTCGCAGACCAAGGGGAGAGATCGTTTGCAATGCTCATGTCACTTTGGATTCCTTGTTCAATGTTGCCACTGTCAGGTTCCTTCAAAAGAGTGACCAAGAAGACAAGGATGCCACATTTATAATACAGCTGCTCCACCTATTTTTCATACCAATGTCTCCTAGGGAAAAGAATTCCAACATATCCATAGAAGTTGCTGCAGTTTTAATATACAAAGAAGTCCTTCAAATGCTCTCAATGGCTAAGATGCTTGAATTATTTCAAAGGAAATATGCACGTTCTCTTGTAGTGGAAGTGATATTGAGTATATTTCATCAATTTGGATGGATTACCGCTACTGCATATTATGCAAGTCATATTTTTGATTTAGTTGATATCTCCAGAAGGATTGCATCAATTCCTTTGGTGGTGTTGGGATTTCTTGTGCTGGATAATTCAAAATGTTCTTTACCGTGTGAAACCCAAACATATATCAATTGTCTTTCCTCATTAGTATTGATGTACTCGAACCTTGAGGACAAGGTTCTTATTGAGGAGGAGGGTATTGTTATGAATAATCTAGCCCACCCCAATATGGATACTGACAAGGATGTCACACAAATTAATATTGGGCCGAGAAGAAGCAATTGGGCCAGGCCTTCACAAAGGTTACTCTGGGATCCAGGCTGAGGGCACTTTGTATTCGTCAAATAGTATATGGTAACACTATCAGTAGGCTATCGGGAATTATGTGCAAAGGTATTTCTAGTATCTTCCCATCTCCAATTTTGTATCGGTCTTTCTCATCCCCTTTCTTCTTAGTTCTGTTGCAATCTTCCCTACTCTAGTTAGTGTTTGCTTTGTAATTCCAGTTTAATGTTCAATATAATCGATCAGTTCTATTGAAAGAGAGTCGTCCACTCTTAGTTTGTTACAGCTGCTAACGGTGAAGTTGAAGTTTATAGATAGACTCCTTAGTTATGGCTCTTTTGTTGACATGTTTGATATCATTTAACTAGAGTTATCAAATTTAGCATAAAGTTACCCTCTCAAAAAGGATAGGTTTCTGCTAGATATCCATTCCACGTGGCAGGATTGTTTATGAAGGATATCTGGGAAGCAAGGTGTTAATTTGGACCAGAATATTTTGATTTGCTAATTGATGAATTTGTTTTTGGCAGCTGATACTTGTTATGTTCTGTGGAGTACCAGCTAGAGAACCTGCCTGATGAATCTTTTTGAAATAAAAGAAGTGAGAAGGATGAGTCCAGACACTGCTGAAAATTATGTGTTCAGTGATAATTCTTGCTCAGGTTGCATTGGAATATAGTCTTTTTGGTAGATGCTGTCTCGATCAGGAGCTTCCATTCAGTACGTTTGTTTTCTCCGTCTCCATTCAATATATTTTTTAAAGAGTAATTTTGTATAAACTTCTTTTCAAGTACGTTTGGAAAATTATTGGGCGTTAGAATAGCTACAATTATCAAAATGAACCAGTTAATGTGAGTAATAATACCCATTGACCTATGCATCCGTGTGTCTTTGATGGCTTGTGTCAAAGCCTACGAAAATGATTTGGTTATATCCTCGCCATACAGTTTTGACATTGTTAAGAGTCACCGCCACTTGTATCTGCTACTTTTACTTACATCCACGGTTTGATCAATAAGCATAATCATGTCTGTACTTGTTGTTGACACCTAATTTTTGACCCTATTTGAATTTATTTCCACTTTTCCCACTTATCTCGTCAATACCTCACTTTCACTTTCCCTCGCCCCCACACCGGTCCCTCATCCCACTATTCCCATATTCCCATTCCACCTTCTTTTGTCCCCCATTTTTCCTTGTCCCCTCTCACTTTATCCCTTTCCAACTCACCCATGTTACACTCCAACAACAAGAAAACTTTTACCTCTCCCCTTTTTCCTCATTTCTTAAGCTTCTTCAACACACACACGGTCATAGGCAGCAAGGGGAGCTCCCCAACTCTCTCATCTACCCATTTTTTCTCCAAATACACTCACCCTCCCAAAAACGCGGACAGAGTATACCTTCGATATACACTCGATATACCGTGGGTATACACGGGCAGAACACCCCCTCCCCAACGGATCTCCTTCTTTCTTTCTTCTCAAACCAGAAAACAATGACCTTTTCACCATCAAGACCAGCCTTGAAGCTCCAGTAATTGAACCATCAAAAATCCGTTCAAAACACATCAAAACAAGCTTGAAAATAGCTCCGTTTTTTTAGTCAAAACGACCTCTAAAATAGCAGCAAAAACCTGTTGCAAACAGCCATAAAATCCACCCCTGACACCACCCAAAATGAANTGCACATTTATTTGCTGCAGACTTGCATGTTGACCGGTTTCTGAAAATACTTATTGAAAAAAAATAGCAGTGTAGGGAGACAACTATTTATTTATTTTTATTTTTTTTAAAAACAACCAATGTCAAAATAGTGTCGAAAACTCCGCCGAATTTTTAGAAAAAATGAAAAAAAGAAGAATTTGTTAAAAAATGGTTGTTTATTGATCGAGAAAATGAAGAAGGTAAATAATAAAAGAAAAAAGAGAAAAGTTTCATTTTTAAATAGTTTGTTGAAAAAGAAAATACACAAAGAGTCGTTTTTTTTTAAAAAAAAATGGTTTTGCTTGCTAATGAAAAAAGAGTCTTGTTTTTCAAGAGAAGTTTGTTTTATCTGACCGAACTACGGGTCTGATTCTCACCGGATGTGAGATACGTAGGCAAACCTCATCGGTTCCGACCCCAATTTTCAAAAAATCCAAAATATTTTTCATTAGTTCTTTCTTTAGAAATCTTTCCTTAGAAAATTCAAAAAAGAAGAAGTTTTCAAAACTAAAAAAAAAGGTAGTTTTCTTCTTTCTGAAGTATTTCATACGGAAAAAGAAAAAAAATAATAATAAAATCTAAAAAAAAAATCAAAAATACGGGTTTCCTTTATTTTGAAGTATTTTTCCCAAAAAATCAAAAAAAATCAGAAAAAAAGAGAATCAATATATATTCGTTCTTTTAAAGACTTTCCTTCTTTAAAAGTCTTTCTTTCATAAATGTCATAGAATTAAAAATTAAAGTCCAAAACTATTTTCATTACTTTTGTAAATTTAAAAACAAACAACAACAAAAAAAACTCGAAAATCCAAAATATTTTCTTAAAAGTGCCTCTTTCGAAAATTCAGAGGCGACAGCCAAAATCAAAAGAAAATATTTTCTTTCTTATTTAGAAAAAGAGAGAACAAATGAAAATTCAAACAAAAATATTTTCTTTTTTTTACTTCTAAAATTCTCAAATTCCAATCAAAAGAAAAGGAATTTTTAGAAGTCTTTCTTTCAAAAATAAAAATAGAGTCAAATTCAAAAATTCAAAAAAAAAAACCTTTTCTTCTTTTAAAGCATGTTTTTTAGAAAAATCCAAAAAAAAACCTTTATTCTTTTAAAGTATTTTTTTTAAAAAAAAAAAATTATTCCAAAAAGAAAAAAAAAGAGTTTACTTACTCTATTCACAATCGCCCGAACTACGCCGGTTTGATTCTCACAGGGTATGAGATACGTAAGCAACCCTCATCGGGTCCAACCTCCCCTTTTTAGAAATAGCCAAAATGTTAGAATTTTAATTTCGTCATAAATGAGTCGGGTGATGCCGTTTTGTCAAGAATAGCCGAATGTTCCCGAAAGGGACGCCGGAAGGCTGACTTTGTATAAACAGCCATTTTTGGTCATTTTTTTGACCAAATTGCCCAATGGCCTTAGGATCCTCGTCCCCGAGGCTCTGTGAGGCCGTGTTCCCCATGTCGGGTGACTACTCTGAAAAAAGAGAGTCATAAATAAATCAAGTGACTGTTTTGTCAAAAATAGCCAAATGTTCCCGAAAGGGACGGCGGGAGGCTTACTTTGCATAAACGGCCACTTTCGATCATCTTTTAGAGTTTGGGTCGATTAGCCTGCACAACCTTAAAATCTTCATCCCCGAAGTGCTGAAAGGCCGTGTTCGAAGCTCGGATCTCTCTTTCCCAAAAAGTAGTCAAATCATTTTTCGAGTCAAATCATTTTTTGTTTAAATCACCTTAATAAATGTGTAGGATGAGCACAATGCAAAATGAACACTTGTATCTTTATTTTTTGCACTTGTTTGTCCCGAACTACGCAAAATCTGATTCATGCGGGGTCATGATACGTAGGCAATCTCCATCGGATTCGATCATAGCTATAAAATAAATTGAGTGAAAAATAAACTGAAAGAAAAGGAGAAAGAAAATTGAGTGAAAAAGAGAAAAGAAAAAATAGAAAAAAAGGAAAAAGAGTGACAAAATAAAAATAAAAAAAGAAAAAAAGAGAGTGCAAAAAATAAAAGAGCGGCAAAACAAGATCAAGAGTGGTTAAAGAGAGGCAGGAATAAAAGAAAAGAGGTACATAGTGAAGAGGGCTAGTTTAAGGCCGGGATGAAACATGCAACCCGTTCAAACACATGGTAAAAGCGTTTAACTATTTAGGTGCATTGCATCCCAACGTGCGATTTCCTATATGTTAAATGCCTCAAAACTAACAAGGTTGTGTGTGTGTAAGTAAATTAGCCAGGTTCTGTTCAGGTGATTGGTTTTGTTGGTATGCGGTGATGAACATGCAGCCTTGCACGCG